GCGTTTTTCCGTTCAGTGAAACGCGCGTTTCACTGGCGGTATGATTTTTTTTTGTTTTTTTTCCTTTATTTTCTCAATTTGTTTTTTTTATTTTAGTTTCACTTTTAAACTTCCCGCCGGCTCCGCCCCCCTGCGACGCGGCCGCTCGCAAGGGACGGAGCCCGGAAGTCGGCAGCCGCCGGAGGACACAGCGGGGATCGCGGACAAGGTAAGACCTGTACGCTGTATTCCCGAGTGTGGCTCGGGGGTTACAGCTTTGTTAACCCCGATCCACACTCGGGAATACCAATGGAAACGCGCGGCAAAACGCCCCAAAGAAGCTCCTGTACTTGCAGCTGGTGATTTCACATATATATTTTTTTTTTTCCAGCGCAACTAAATTGGTTAAAGTCTTTCCTGTACTTCTTTTGGCGTAGGGTCGTTTTGCAGCGTGTTCCTACACGCTGTAAAACGCCCAGGTGGGAACCATGCCCATAGGCAATCATTGGTTTTCACATGTTGAGCGTTTTACAGCACGTAGCAACGCCCAGGTGTGAACCAGGCCTAAATGATGATACTTATCCCTGTGTTAATGCCATGTGAACTGAGCCCCATCTACCTAGAACTGCTTGAAGTGAACCTCTGCTTTGCCCATACTAGTCAAAATAACAGGTTCTCTTTATAGATGGAGACAATAAGCATCCAGTACAGTCCGATCCACCACCAAACCACACAGAATTGTCTTGAAACCTATACTGGCCAGAGCCTTCCTGTGCCATTATGGAAGAAAAAGCTGTCAGCTGTCCATTCAGACCGGCTTCTAGAAGGGTACACAGCGGGGAAAGCCTCCCATTCGGCTTATGACAGCTATGTTAGGTCCCACGTCAGCGGGCTTCCCCGCTGCTCTGCGTAACCTACCACAGTGAGGTCAGAGATACAACAAGCCTCTGACATAAAGTCAGAGGCTTGAGCTCTGTGGATGGTTTGGAATAGTAGAAGTTAGACACATTCAACTGGACTTCTCCTGTTATATTGAAGATGTTTTGTTGCTTATTTGAGCCATTTCTAATGAGTGTCGGCAACATACCCCGGCATTTATATCTACACCTTCAGCACAGACACCTTAACCTAATTACCATGGAATGGCTCAAGGCAGATGTTAATCGTTCACGAACAGGATGGTGGGTTTGAACGTTGTGGGACTCCCTGTTCTAGTTACAAGGGATGGGATTATGTAACTAGAACAGGGGATGTTCCACAACTTTCATACATCCGATCAGTGGCGTCACAAGTGGGGTGCGGGGGGTGTCACCCCCTCTGAAAAGTCGGGCATTCGATCTTGGCCCGAGAGCCTGAAGGTTTCAGGAGAGAGGAGGGGACCTGGCAGCATACATTAGCCCGCTGGGTGACTGTCCCCTCCTCTCTATCGGCGTCCATCACCAAGATGGCCGCCGGCAGGTATCAATAAGGCATGTGCGATGACGCCATCTTGCTCTCGCGCAGTGACGTCACGCAACATGTGCGATGACGTCACGGCGGGATGTCACCCGGTAACCATTCTGGGGTGACACCCGGCCTCAGGACGCCCCTGCATCCAATCCTGTTCTAGGGCAATCAACATTTGCCTTGACACATTCTATGGTGATTGGATGAAGGAGCCTGTGCTACCTGTGTGGATACAAATGTTGGGGTATCTACCTGACACTCATCAGATCTGAAATAGTGGCTTGGAAAAGTTATGAAACATCTTCAGTATTACAGAACAGGTCCAGCTGCATGCGACTAGCCACTGCTAGGTGTAACGTGGAGGAAGATAAATGATGGCATGTCCACTTTAATGGATGTTGCGTGTCTCCATATGTTCTAGAAGGCTAACCCTGTGACTCTGCCCGCCCTGCAGGTTCACTTTTGCGTCGCTGGAAGAAGCACTGGTTTGACCTGTGGATGGACGGAGGTCTGGTCTATTACCCTGATGACAGTCGGCAGAACATAGAAGAACGCATAACCCTAAAATATAACTGCTTGAACGTCCAATCGGGACAGGAGTGTGGAGGTGAGGCTTCCAGTCTTGTTTCTAGTTTGTGTTGGAAGAAACCAATTATATCCTTTCCTTTAATTTTTTCAATGCTAATGGTGAGTGTTTAGAGAAGCTTTAACCAACCAGG